GGTGAAATTCATCCTCCTGCTGTCCGCATCTACAACAAGATGAAGAAATGTGAACAGAGAAGCGGCCAGCTCTCACGCCCGTAGGCAAAGCCCTCCGAAGAAGTCTCCAAGCAAAAGTTTGAACACGAAGGAGCAAACTTTTTTGCTTCCAAATGAGCTTGAGAAAGTCTTTCAAATCCAAAGGAATATCCATAGGGGCATTTCTAGGATTATTATGAAGCTCCTGGAGGCAAAGCTTGTAAGCAGATTTAGAAGAGCAAATACCATTTGGGGTGAGATCCCAACACAGCAAATCCGGACCATCATCATCAATAATTTCAGTGTTAACAATTTGCGACGCAAGAGGCTGCTGGAAAAGAGAAAATATGAGATCATGATTCCAACTTTTTTGACCAGGCATCCAAAGCTCCCTAACAAGAGAGGGGTAAATAAAAACCAGCTTGTTGGGGAATAAGAGAATCATAAATAGTATGCCACAAATTACACCAAGGCATGCTCCATAAAGAAAGATTACCACTCGTGAGTTGATAAAAAGCATGACATGTCAGCTTAGGCAACATTTTCAAAATAGAGGCCCAAAAAGCAAATTTAGGAGGGGTTTTAGTGGCTCTTCAAATTGAAGTGTCAGGGAAGTATTTAGCCTTAAGCACAAGGTATAGATGAGAAGAAGGGGCTTTAGCTAACCTCCAAGCAGCTGAGAGAATGACGCTTTCATTAACAGCTTTAAGATTCCTAATACCCAAGACACCTTCTGTTTTAGAATTACAAATATCTTTCCAGGCCCTAAGGCAAAGACTCTTTTTAGAGTCAGTCTCTCGAACACCTGTCCACCAGAAGTTTCTTATAACAGCCGTGAGTTTAGCAATGAATTTCTTAGAAAACAAGATATTTGCCATGTAATAAACGGGAATAGCCGAGAAAACTGAGCGAATTAGTTCAAGTCTAGCAGCATGAGAGAGCATGTTTGCTTTGTAAGAAGGCAGCTTATTTAAAAATTTATCAAGGACAAAATTGTAAGCAGCCAGTCTATTATTAGCAGGGAGAATGAGAGGATGACCAAGATGAGTGAAATTAGCATCAAGATTAGGAACAGGGAAAATATGCTTAATGTCTTGAATAGTAGCCTGAGAAACATGCGAGCTAAACAAGATTGCAGATTTGCTCCAGTTGGGAGTTTGGCCAGAGAGATCACAAAATTGCCGAATAAGATTCGCCATAGTTTGAGCTTCATGATGGGTGGCCTGACCACAAACCAAAAGGTCATCTGCAAATAGAAGTGAATGAACCAAAGGGCAACTTGGACCAAGAGAAATACCCTGCAAATGGTTAGCCTGAAGCGCCTCATTAAGAGCAATCGAAAGTTCATTAATGGCAATAACAAACAAGTAAGGGGACATGGGACAGCCTTGTCGAATCCCTCGAAAACTTTTAAATTTACGAGAAGGCTGCCCATTAATAAGAACAGAAAAAGTGGGAGAAGAGATGCATGCATGCACTAAGTTAATGAAATGAGCATGCAGCCCTTTACGAGTAAGCGCAAGAACAATGAAGTCCCACTCAAGTCTATCAAAAGCTTTAGCAAGATCAATTTTTAACATGAAGGCATCATGTTTCCAAGATATGAGAGAGAAAGAGTGAGCTATCTCTTGAGCAATTATAATATTACCACTAATTCTTCTACCCTCAATGAAAGCCTGTTGGGCAGGATCTATATAATCAGGAAGGTGAGGTTTAATCTTGTTAGCAAGAGATTTAGCAATGATCTTATAAACAACATTACAAAGACTAATAGGCCTGTAATCCATAGGCACTTGAGGAACAAGTTTTTTAGGAATGAGAGCAATGTTGGTGTTATTAATATGAGGAGGAAGAACTCCAGAAAGATAAAAATTAACAACAAGCTGAGTTACCTCGTCTCCAATCCAGTCCAAGTAGCTAAATAGAACTCAACATTAAAACCATCCGGACCTGGAGAAGCATTAGGTTTCATATCCTTCAGAATCTGCAAAATCTCATGATTGTCAGGCAGAGCATAGGTGGGATCCAAAGAGCCACTGGGCCATTGTGTTGAAAGGTAAGGATTACCCACATTATCATTCGGGGAAGAGAAAATGTAGCGAAAGTATTTAACAAAGGTATTCGTGATAGCAGCAGGATTGAAATGAATCATATTATTCTCATCCTTAACAGAGCAAATGGTATTTCTCTTCCTACGCTTAACAACAGCTTGGTGAAAAAAATTAGTATTACGGTCACCAGCAACAGCCCATTTGTTCTTACTACGTTGCTTATAGAACCGATTAAGTTTAGAAAGAGTGAACTCATACCTATTAGTGAGAGAAGTTTCCAAATTATGGTCCTGTTGTTGTAAAGGAAGTTGCTGCAGTTGATTGATACAAGCTTCCAAGTCCAAAAGATCATTCTGAAAAGGCTTCTTCTTCTTGCACCACATTTTCAAAGACCCTGCCAAAGAAGAGGATTTTGCTGCAAAAGAATGTGAGGGACTAGCATTCCAGGCAGATTTACCAAAGGCATGAAAATCTTTCTCCATCGACCACCAATTTTCAAATTTGAAAGTTTGCCGAGGCTTGACAAAATTACCTTCAGTAGACACCAGGGGGCATGATCACTCAAAATAATAGGCAGATTAAGAACCTTGGTATTAGGGTAATGCATGCACCACTCAGAATTAACTAAACAACGGTCAAGGCGTCTATAAATAGGTTTAGAAGTGTGTTGTCTACCGCGCCAAGTATAGGCTGGACCACAATAACCAATATCAAACAAACCACAATTTTTGACAAGGGAACGGAAAGCATGCATACGATAGTAATTCACATAGCCATTACAACCATCAATGTCATACAGGATGTCATTCAAGTCCCCCAAACACATCATGGGGATACCCAGATTATCATACACAAAAGTAGAAACTTGATCCCAGATGGCACTAGTTTGCCTATGGTACGGGTCACCATATATACAAATCAAACAAAAGTTGACCCCCGAAGCTACATGAACTACTTTAGCTAATATGTAGTGGAAAGCAGCACTATGAACAGAGACTTTAAGATCATCGGTCCACATCAGCCAAAGCCCTCCCGAAGCACCTCTAGAAGGAACAACAAAACCATTAGCAACATTAAACCTATTAACCAAACCAACAGAACAAACTTTGGAGGATTTGATTTCAGAAACAAACGTTACCTAAGATTTCGCGGACCGCATCAAATTAGCCAAGTAAAGCATACGGTCATTGCCGAGGCCCCGGCCCATACCTCGGCAATTCCAAGCAATGGCTCTCATGGCGCCCGAGGCGCGTTAGGGCCATGCGCCGCTGCCCAAGAAGAGGAGTGAGCCAAGTCTGCAATCTGTTGACCACGAAAGTCCACTTCATCCGCGGTTTGACTGCCCCTGAGATCCACTGTGCCGCCATGACGAGAGGAACTAAGGTTATCCTGAGCTTCCATCATGGTTTGAGCTCCGGCTCCAGACAAGTCACCCCTGTTGTTAAAATGATCCACTTGAGGAGGAGAGAAAGCCCCTTGACGGGAATTGTCTGAATCTGCAGAAATAGATCCTGTAGGAGTTCGAATTGGCCATGGGTCATAGCAAGCAGCTGCCTCATTGCTCCGTTGTTCAACCATTCCACTCCGACTAATAGAGGTCCCGAGATTCGTGATTGTCATAACCTTACTGCTGCTTCCACACATAGCAGCGATGTAACCCATTTGAGAGGTGCCATCAGAACGGTGCCAAGTGGAATGACTAATACGATGGCGAGAAATCCCACTGAAATGGGGACGCATACCCGTACGCTTCCCAGATGGAGGAACGTCCCACTTGCTAAGTCCAAAACGACAGCTGGCTCCCTTATCTGCTGTATGTTTGGGTGTAGCAAGGGCAACCGTGGCAGCTCCCAAAGTACCAGCTTGAGCTGCTGGGCCGTGGTCAAGAACATCGGCAGGCGGAGCTCCGAGAATGCCCAATCCAGTATGAGTCTGCCTCTTGGGACGAGACACGACTCCGATCGGACCCGCATCAGCCGCGAAACCCTTCTGCGCTTCTGCACCTTCTCCATCACCAGGCACCCCGAGCCGCTTTGGCGGTGGGAGAGCCAAACCAGAGAGCGATTCTGACGGCCTTTTGGGACTGAATCTAGGAGAGGCCAGCGAAAGGCGGTGGGAATCTGATGGAGGAGACTTATGGGGAGAAAGAGGAATGAAAGACTCTTTCTCACTACGAATTTTGTCCTTCATAGCAGCTGAAATTGCAGTAGCAGTAGAAGTCTGAATGATGTGAGCAGTAGAGTGTGTGGGTAGACTGGGCAAATGTGGGAGAGAAATAGGATTTGTAGGTGCATTCTGGCGGAAGGCATCTGGGATTGAAGACGAGGGGATTATAGAAGGGGACTGAGCAAAAGAAGTAGACTGTCCCTTATGCATCTGACTAGGTTGAATATTGTGCTGATGCAAATCTGGGCCATAACATTGCTTAAGAATGTTTACTTGAACATGAGGTGTGTATGGAAGATCTAAAAGAGACTGAGTTAATGGACGTGGTTCAGCGGCCGCCAAGAGAACGCACGTTTCCAAGTCTCCGAGTTCGACACGTACACTGCAATAATGCAATGGGACGTGGCACGTAGAACCGATGCCGACACCAGGTGCTTTCAACTTGTCTTAACCAACGGATGTCACGGAAACATATCAGTGGTTAGTTAGCAAAAAAGAGAATGTAAACACACAAGAACTCGACTAGAAGTATCAAGAATGTAAACACACACAAAAATATTCTGAAACGCATGCATGCATGCAAAGTCTAGCTACCAGTAAATGCACGCGTGCAAGATCTTGGATAATCTCGCATGGACTTTGAACGAGAATCATCTGTGACTCAGTGATTGTGATCGATAACGTAGACAATTGGAACTAGTTCGTTAAGCAACATTGACCACGCTTGGATTGATCCTCACTGATCGGGATAACATTTGAACACGCATGCATTGGTTGGACAATCTACGTGCATATATACAACCCACGTACGTCCCTTCATTCACAGCAAGCATCCTACCAAAGTGTAAGCTGAGCTGCCCAACTGACGCAACACCGGCCGAAATGTGGCAGTCCAAGCCAGTCATGGTGCTCCTCCTGCTGGCCGTCTCCACGGCGGCGACCGTCGGCAAGCCGCTGCTCACGAAGGTCACCAAGGGCGGCGCGTCCACGGCCCTCTACACCGCGCCCCTCAGCGCCGGCCGGCCGCTCGTCCTCGACCTCTCCGCCCCAGCCATCACGACGCCGTGCAGCGGGCAGACGACGACCGTGACGCTCTCCGCCAACTCCACCGACGGCATCAACCCGCTGTCCCCGGTCTCCTTCGCCGCCACCGCCACCTGCGCCGCGGCCCCCTCCGGCGCCGTCGGCGTCGCCGGGCTCGCGCGCTCCAGCGTCTCGTTTCCGGCCCAGGTCGCGAGCACACAGAAGGTGGCCAACTCGTTCGCCCTCTGCCTCCCGAGCGGCGGCGTGGGCGCGGCCATCTTCGGCGGCGGCCCGTTCTTCCTCGCGCCCCCGGCGGACCGGCCGGCCATCACGACGCTCCTCTCCGACGGCGTCCCGCTCCGCCAGCCCTTCTCCGGGAACCCCGGCTACTTCGTGACCGCCACCAACGGCATCGCCATCGGCGGGACGCGCGTGGCCGTGTCCGGCTCCGGCGCGCTCGTGGTCGGCCTCTCCACCACGATCCCCTACGCGCAGCTCCGCAGCGACGTGTACCGTCCCTTCATCACGGCCTTCGACCGCGCCATGGGCTCGAGCGCGAAGGTCGCGGCCGTGGCGCCGTTCGAGCTGTGCTACGACTCGTCCAAGCTGTCGCCGACGCTGTCGGGCTACTCCGTGCCCCAGGTGGACGTGATGCTGGAGGGCGGGACGAACTGGACGGTGGTGGGCGGCAACTCCATGGCGCAGGTGAACAGCGCCACGGCGTGCTTCGCGTTCGTCCAGGCGGGAGGCGGCACCGGCGGGGCGCCGGCGGTGGTGATCGGAGGGTTCCAAATGGAGAACAAGCTGGTGGTGCTCGACAACGACAAGAAGACGCTCAGCTTCACCCCGTACCTCCCAGCCAGGGGGTTCTCCTGCAGCAACTTCAACTTCACCGGGGCGGGGTAGTGATCCAAAGTTCCACATCGGTCTCCCATCGGTTCATGGTTCAACCGTGTGCGTGCGTGTAAGAACTTCCATGATATGTTAATAACTTGGAGTGTTGAAATAAAATGAATAAAATCAATCGAATATTAATTAATCACTTCGATACCACGCTGGACCAGAAGGGTTAGTTTTTGTTTTTTTGAAAAATACATTCTGTCCATCATCATGAGCGTGACTGACTGACACTGACCGATATCTCTTCAAAATGAGTTGAAGACGCCCGTATATTAGCTTACGGTATGTTTGGCAAACCGGGCACGACGACACGGTAATTAGTTAGGCTGACAAGACACTGACGCCACCGCCTGATCCGGCCGGACTTGAGCTTCATCCGGCTGCGGGAGGCCGGGCCGTGCCATGGACTGGCCGGGCCCCGGGCCAGAAGGCCCCGACAAGGCCGCATGCAGGTACTGACTCCTTCTCTAGCCACTTGGATCTACACCGTCGGCGGTTCGCGGCAGATGCACGAACGGCCAGAAGCCGGGCTCGGTGCTGGCCTAAAGACACGTAGGCGCACCGGTGTCACTCATTAAGTGCGATCACTGTCCAAGGAAGGTCTTGCACCGCGTGTCTATAACGCCGGAATATCTTGGATGGGTGTTCATCAAGTGCTCAAACGATGTGGTATGTGCTACTTTAGCTTCGGTTGTGCTCTTGGATTTGACTAGTTGTACTAACTTAAATTTTCATTGTGTAGAATGGATGCAACTTTTGGTATTGGGAATAAGAATATATCGATATATTGATAGAGCGTAATTTAGTAGATATTCGTGCACTTTTAGCTAGAATAGATGCTAGAGATGAGACTAGTGCACTTCTTGCTAGAATAGAGGCTAGAGATCAAACTAGATGCAAGGAAGCAACGTATACTTTTTTAGACCCGAAGAGGAAAGAAGCACGCAAGGTCGAGTCTCCGCAGATCAACAATGAATGCATCGAGAAGGCACTAGTCCAACTTACGGAGCAGTTATGAAAGTTGGTTATTTTCTAAAATGTCTTCTTGTGGTTGTTGTGTTTTTTGATCTTGCTATTCTAGTCAAAATTTGGTGATATGCTTCCATGTATCAAAAATCAATGTTGAAAATAAAAGATATGTGTTTGTGAAAAAAAATGTATGCGGACAAGACGTGGCTGAAATGCGGCTGGGTGCACAACCGCCGCATCCACGAATCCGGGCAGACACAGCCTCATTACCATCCTAAACGGACGAAAAGCGAATGAAACTAACATTCGTTTAGGGTCACGAGTTGGAGTTGGCCTGATATCTTCTCCGGGCGATGCTGAAATGGGAAGAATCGCGCGCTAGTCTCATGTTCAAACTCGGAAAGTCAAATCATTTGAATGCAGCACGTGAGTGCGCACGCCCTTGTTTGGCGATGTTTACTAATGGTGGTTTCGACCATTCCATCGCATATGGCTACTCAGCAGTCACCGAAGGCGTCTATGGCTCGCAATCTTGTTGTAAACTCTGTAAACAGACCAAAACAGGTGCAGCTCAATGTGCTCCAGTGTCTGTTTTTTTTTTCGAGCAACCGGCAGGAGCTCTGCCTTTTCATATAGAAGAAGAGAAATGACCAGTTAATAAGAAAAACTGGCCGAAATCCGATACATGTGTGGCACACCCACACCAGCCGACGACTTCGTCACCCAAGCGACCAAAATCGACACACAACAACACGAACCGGAGCCGCCGCTCCGACATACAAACCTCAACAGCGCACACACCGGCCCCGAGGCCGCGTCCCAAACGAGTCGACGACTCTGTCACCCCGGTGACCAGAAACGACACCCTGCAAACGAAAGACGCTCTCCGGAGCCGCCACTCCGACTTCCACTCCGACCCCAAGGCCGCGAATCCAATGAGCCAACGACTCTGCCACCCAAATGACCAGATTCAACGCTCCACAACGCAACTATCCGGAGCCGCCGCCCCGGCCTCCACACCGGCCCCGAGGCCGCGAACCCGCCTGGCCGATGGCGAAGATGTCGGGCGATGCCAACCATTGACGCAGGGCAGATTGGACCTCCAAGGCGACGCCCCCAAGAAGGATGCGACGTGAGCGCCGCCACCGCCTGCTTCAGCCCAAGCCGAAGCATAGGTTTTCACCCGGAGAGCATTGTATCCAAATGCCTAAAGGAGGTGAAGGGGCTCCACGACGACTCCTCCAACGAGGGGAACGACATCCTAGGACGCCGTCGTCGCCGGCAATGACCAAGGTCACTGCAAGGCATTCACCTGGAGTTCACCATGCCCAGAGACACTGCATCAAGGCCGTCCATCTGACTGAACCGAGAAAGTCGCATGCCCCAATCAAATCGCCGCCACCAACCACCACCACGACCACACGCTACTCAACGGAGCCACCACCACGAGACCGCCTCACCCGCGCAGCCAGGGTCAGGGAGCACGGTCCACCGCCACCACCTCCACTGCACCGGCGCACAGATCCGGCCCTCATGGTCCAGATCCAGACCTGCAGCGCAGCCACACGCTGCAACCCCAAACTGCCAAAGCAGACCGCCGCAACCCTCCAAAACACGCATTCGAGCAGCCCCGACGCGGATCCGGGCGCGAGCCCCATGGATCTGGGCAGGACATGAGCAGCCGTAGCCACCGCCGAGCGGCGGCGCATCCAGCCGCTGCGGCGCCGACCCCGGCCGAGGACGGCCAGATCCGCCCCTTGCCGCGACGCCGCAGCCTCCCCAAGCAGTGCCACCAACGGCTGCTCAACCCCGAGCAGGACACACCGAAGACCGCCGTGACGAGATCCCCTGCTCGCGCGCGCCCGCCAGCCAGCGAAAGAACATGCCCCGCCACCGCCGGCTCCGCACGGGCTTCGCCCGGCGGAGGACACCAGCGACGGCGAGGGAGGGAAGGGATGAGGGGAGAGAGCTGGTGGTACGGCTGTGGTCGCCGCCCGTGTCGCTCCTGGGGAGGGAGCGACCAGTGTCTGTTCTTTTCGGCATAAGGAAAATGTAGCTTCTTTATTTCAGTGTCAAGGGGAAATGTGCCTTCTTTTTTTTAAGTTAATATGTGGCAAACTTTAAGATAAGAAACACCGCATCCGGAAGAAATGGGCTTGTGGGTCTCAGTGCATCGGACATCATCGTCTTGCGAAACTTGCATTAGTGTTCCAGAGACATCATCGTCTTTTTATTCTTGAAGTCTGCAAGCTCAAAATAACCACATGTCAAATCATAGATGATTCAAAATGTTCAAATACAAAAGTAGTTCTAATTTAAATATTATTTTTCAATAAAGTTTTTAAATTAAAATAGTTCAAACTTGAATTCAACTAGCACATATGTTGTAGTTGTCCTCTTTAACCGTTCATATATGCTCAATCAATTCTTCCTTGAGTTGTTCATGAGTTGCTCGATGCCGAATTTGTTGATGCATTTGACCAAATTCATCAAACGTAGCAGGATTCTGATATGGCAGTTGGATAGGATCTTCCATGTTCTCAAATTCAAGAGTTGTGGCAGCATCTTCACCTTCATCCTCCATGATCATATTGTGCATGATCACACAACATGTCATCACCTCCCACAAGGTCTCCGAATCCCATTATTTAGTAGTTCCTTGAACAGCTACAAAACGGGTCTGGAGCACTCCAAATGCCCTCTCCATATCCTTTCTAGACCCTTCTTGTCTTTGGGAAAAGTTAGACCATGTCAGGCCAACTGGCTCAGAGATGGTCTTGACAAAGGTAACCCATGGAGGATATATGTTGCCAACTAGATAGTAGCTCATGTTGTATTCATGCTCATTGATGGTATAGTTGCAAGGAGGAGTTTTCCCCTCAGCCAGCCTACCAAACAATGGAGAACGCTGCAGGACATTATTGTCATTGTGAGACCGGGGCATTGCCAATGAAAGCATGCCAAATCCAGAGATCACGTGATGCAACTTCCTCAAGAATGATGGTGACCTTCTTCACATGGCTCTGATATTGCCCTTGTAGAGCTTTTGGATAGTTCTTCCATCTCCAGTGCATGCAGTCAAGAGATTCGAGCAAACCTAACCAGCCTCTTGCTTCGAACATTGCCAAGAGCCTCTCAGTTTGTGCGGCGATTGGTTCTCTCAAGTACCGAGGTCCAAACACCTCGACCACGGTAGTAGAAAATCTAACTGTGGCGTCTCCGCATGTGCTCTCACACATCCGAAGGTGTTCATCCCACGAATCTGCGGCCATGCCATATGCAAGCATCCGCAATATGGTCGTACACTTCTGGTAACCAGAGAATCCAATCCTCCTATGACATCCTTCTAAAAGATGAAGCAGTCATCAAAGGACCAGATGCCATGATAGAGGCAATAAAAGATATTTTTTCGCATCTGAAAGCGCCGGCGAAAATTGTCAGCAAAGAGGGCATTGGGAGCAATGTAGTTGTCCATCAGCGTCTACTGCCCCCTGAACTATTCCAATTGAGCACTCGATAGCCTTGATCGATATCTTGGAATTTAGAACATGCTCGTTCGCACGCTCCGCATCTGCAAGGCCAGTCTGCATCATCGTTGTTTCATCCATGTAGTCCTCCTCATCAGATGAGTCAACACAGATCTCTATAATCCAGACTCCTCTGTGCAGTCCCCCTTGCGGGGCCCTTTTCTCCTAGCTCCGGAGTCTGATGAAGCTATATACCCAGGGTAGGGTCATGGACCTGTCCAAGATACCCTCCCCAAGGATATATCTAGAAGAAATCACCTTTCAATCGACCCGGAAACGTTCCACTCGACGGACTCAAAGACACTCGACCATGAAGCCATCCACTCGACAGCGAGGAGACCTAAAGTCACTCTGCACGCAAACGTCGGTCATTAAGTAGCTTTTATGGTCATCATAGCACTTTATTTGTAGCGTTACCAGTAACGCCCGATCTTATTGTATCTTAAACCCTGCATAACTGAGGGCCGGAGGGGTCTGGCGGACTCTATATAAGCCACCCCCCTCCTCAGT